CAGAGCAGTGAGCTTGTTGCAGAATTAGCTGTTGAAAAACTTGATTGATTTATTAAATTTATATGCCACCAATCTCACATACATGACAGATGTTGGGTCAACTGGAAATCTCTTGAAATAAGGAGATAATATAACTGGGACATCATATAGGAAACAATATTGCAGGCAAAGATTGTAATTTTTTAAAACTCAGTTGAATTTAGCAATTGAAATAGCTTAACCCCCCTACCTCAACTTAGTGCCAAAAAATCTGAGTAAACATGCAAAGGCAAGGGAGTTTAAAAGTAACTGCATTCATACCAATGCTTTAGTAGTTTTGCTACTCCATCCTGGCAAAATAGTTTTGTAGTTGTTTGGCTTGATGTATATCCAGGCCTATAATTGCTAAAGAGTTTTTAATTAATAACTCCAACAATTCTAGTCAATCTAATTGTTTCTTTATTCAGGAAGCACAGAACTGTTTTTCATAAGCAATCCTTGACAACCTTATTACTTGTCTTCTGTAGGTTGCACTGTTAGCTGCTGTTACATACTTTGAATGAGTTGGTGAGGTGAGTTTTCGTAGCTTTCTCAAGATAGCTTACAAATTCAGTCCTTACAAAGTCTTTTGATCTTTCATTTTTTTCCCCCTTTGACTTCAGTGGCCTTGAACTACTTCCAAGGATTGCAAGGCTGTTTGATGAGCAGACGCTCTTAAGGAACCTGGCAGATAAGCAATGATGTTGCAAAGAGGGTGGAGATAATAGAAGAGAAGAAGGGTGGAAATAGTGCCTATGAGCCACAGAAAGATTTCAATTGAACCTTGTGCCTGCTAGAAACTGATGAGTTGCAAACATTAAAAGAAAACCTGTAGAGACAAGAAGAAAATAAAGGGGAAAACATGTGTCTAGGATAATGTTGCAAGATCCAATCTGGGTCGGTCACCAGGACCAGAGATTTATAGGATAAGTTATTTTTTTCTTGCAAGATCCAATCTGAGTTGGTCACCAACCAGAGATTTACAATATCTGGTCCTGGTGACCAACCCAGATTGGATCTTGCAAGAAGAAAATAACTTATCCTAAGCCTTTTGTCCATCTTTCAGAAATGCTACAGCCCAGAGTACAGTAGAACAAATCCTTAAAAATTCTGGTCATACCTTGAGACCTGGCAACTTTCAGACCTAAGCCAGTCATTTTAGGGAACCAGGGTATTAAAAACTTTGGTGGATAGAAGAAGAGACCAACAAAGTTAAAAAGATTGGAAATTGTAAAAAGTTTGAAAGATGCTTCTCTTTAGACTTGAGTTGCTTGGTGCTTGCCTCGGATACGCGCCAGAAGAAAGCTGTGCCTTCAGTTTTGACACCCTTTTTGGCTTTCAGAAATGCTTGTTTATTTGAGATTTTTAAGAATTCTTTCATTGAGTTTCCTGGGTCATAGGTGACAGATGGCTGGATGAGCCTATTCAGATTCATCATTCTGGATTTGTGAGCTTTATGAATAAATTAAATAGATGCCAAGGAAAATGACATAGAGATTTCCAAGTTGGCCAAGTAAAAATGCTGTTATATTTTGTTTTTCTTCTCCTCAGATCCTGCCTGCATAACAGAATCATACAATACATCCCAGATGCAAAGTACAAATTATGTGGCTTTTGAGTTTCTGAAGAGAAATGTTTATATTTTGGTTTCCATGCTGTTATTTCTGCCTGCTTACAATGCAACACAGACAAATAAATATCCAGGAAAGATGGAATTGCTAAATCTCCCAATCTCCTATTCTTAAATTTATTCTTTTTCAAGCATAGCTTGACACATGCTGTTCCTCTGAGAACAAGGAGTGGCAGGTATTGGACAGAAAAAGACAGGATGTACAAAGTCAGATTGTTTGTGTAGGAAACAGTTTGGTGTCAACATCTCAAATAAAAAAATGAGATTCCTCCTGAGTTTAGGGGAATGCAAATGCTGACCTACCAGGCAATAATGGGAATTGTCTGGAAATCTATTTCAGTTGCAAGCAGTTGTAGCATGTCTCTGTTGTGTGTACTGTGAATTCTTTCAGATGGGTTTTTATAATGCAGTTGTCCTGCTTTCAGAAGGCTTGGGAATCATTTTTATTCTGATTCCAGTCCATTCCAATTTTCACCATGTTCTCCTACCAGAAAAATATCCATCCAAGAGGAAATAGCAAATTTGACCTCGCGTATCCTTTGCTTGATAGCATTAAGACTATTAATCTCTCTTAGAAGGCACATAGTATCTGCTGATAAAAAGGAAAAAAATAATCACCACTATCTCTAGCCAGATATCTAGGAAGCATGGAGGCAGGGCATGACACATTTGTCCATCAGCTGGTATGCAGTGGTACATAATTGCCGAATGTGGAAAATTAGTTTACTTATAGAAGTGACTTCCATTAGTATCATTTAATTAAGCTTTCTTCAATACTACTTCTTGATTGTCAACACATATTTTGTGTAGAAAAACTTTATTTTGTCCACTTTGAAGCTCCTTATGTGTACATAACTTCTAATGCATATCTTTATATAGCCCATAATTTTTTTTGTAAGCAGTTTCACTTACAATTAAAAGCTTCTTTGTACATTTTGTAAGGAAGAATTTTATTTTTGTACCAATGTCCCCAGACATACATATATTTGTTTGGATAACTGTTCCGAAACATTCTGAAAAATATAAATCCTGAATTTCAATTCTTTCTTGACGCACATCCTGATTTCAGAAATGTGAACTTGGTAGGCTGATATCAAAGCAATGTTTCTTCATCCAGCCATAATTACAAGATGCATAGAAAAAGTAAGAATTGGAGAGAACCTAGGATAAATAAGGTTAGGGTTAGGACATATGGACATGTTCTTTTCCATTCTGCATGATTTCTTGAGAGTGCAGAAAAAAGATGATATGCAAAGATGCTATGTGGTGTGTATGGCTTTGAGTGAATGTTGATGTCATGGCCTCACAGCCAAGAAATGGGGCAACCTCCTCTGCCATTAGGATCCTGCACTCTGGCAATTTAAGTGTCTCATGAGCAAATGACAAGGTGCTGGCTCTACAAGTAAGCCCAATGCCTCATTATTGGCAACTGCTGAACAGGGAGAGCCTCGCCTGTGTGTGTGTACTCAGAGGCAAACGGATTTAAACTGTGCCGGGAGAGCCTTCCCTTACTGAAAGCCACTTGATGTCCTGTTCTTCATTCTTGCTTTGTTTTGACCTCCGCATGTCCCTGACCAAGTCTCTGGCTCATCCCTCGGTACTTTTCAAGCTGCTGGTTGATATGATACAGCTCTTTCACCAAATGTTAATAATGACTTAAAATTGCAAGGAAGATTGTGATTGGAATGAAAGAAATACTGACTTGAATCATGTCTTCTCCTCAGCCTTTAGTCTACACATGAACTGTCCTTCTGCTTCCTCAACTTTTTTTCTGTTGCCTTCCCCCTACCTGTCTCCTGCCATCTCCCCAAATAAACTTTCCTGATGTTCTTGCAAGCCTCACCCCAAAGCACCCGCTCCACGCCTATATTTTGCCTAACAACCGCATGAATTGTTTCTCCCTTTGCTGAAGCCAGGATATGAAAGTTGACTCCTGGCGACTGCCTGGACAAGTCCCTGCAGTTTTCTTGGCAAGGTTTTTCCGAAAGCGATTACCTGCTTCCTAGGTCTGAGAGAGGGGGACTGGCCCAAGATCACCAGCTGGCTTTGTGCCTAAGGCAGGACTAGAACTCACAATCTCCCAGTTTCTAGCCTGTTGAATTAACCACGGCACCAACCTGGCTCTGTTTATGCAAAATTAGAGAAGAATATTTTTTTTATTGACGATGGATGTAAAGACTGCAGCAGTGGTGGCGAACCTATGGCACGGGTGCCAGAGGCGGCACTCAGAGCCCTCTTTGTGGGCACGCACACCGCCGCCCCAGTCCTAGGCCTCCAGCTGGGTTTTATGAAACCTTTTTGCTTTACGTCTCTGCTGCCGTGTGCAAAAAAAAAAAAAAAAAAGGTTAATCAATTTCAACTTCTCACGGGGAAAAAACAGATCTTTCAAAGTTGGAATTGATTGATTGAACTTTTTAGTCCCACCCAGTCTGCTGTTATCACCGCAGCCACCCAATGGGCCACGCCCACCCAATGGGCCACACCCACCCAGCACTCAACGATGCATAAGTGGGTTTTGGGTTGCAGTTTGGGCACTCAGTCTCTAAAAGGTTCGCCATCACTGGACTACAGTATTAGGTCTGATATGACATAGGTAATGAAATTGAAAAATTGCAAAAGTGAGAAAGCTGATATTGGAATGTGGCTGGGGATATTTACTTGTTTTTATATGCATAACTCACATTCCCTCTAGCAGATCTAAATGGCATACCTGTGGTCTCCCCCAAATTGTACTCTTTTCAGATTACTTTGTGAGATAGGCTGAATGGAAAGGAAGTGTTTAGATCAAAGTTACTCACAGATTTCTATGGCTATGTGGGAATGAGATACTAGATCCCACTCATCCCAATCCAGCATGTTTACTGTTTCACCACCTTTCAGAACTTTGCACCACCTGTAACTTTTAAACCAGAACAAAACTGACCAAAAGTCAAACAGTGGGAAAGAAGCTATGAAAATGAGGATAATGCTATAAATATGTTATAAACATTATAAACATAATGTTATGTTTCAATTCCTGTCATTTGTAGTGGAATGTGCTTTCAAAAATGTTTAGAATGGACACCACATATACTGTAGCATGCAATCTGGCATGAAGGTTGAGCTTGCAATGAGAAATGCTCCAAAGAGAAATTCAATTCTCAGTGCGTTTTGTGCAAAAAGGAATTCCCTCAGGGCAAATGTATGTAAGTTTTTTTTAAGGATAATTTATTAAAGGAAACAATTTATTAAATCATGATTTATGTTTTTTTCCTTTCCTGGTAGGATATTAAATTGGAAAGTTTTTCAGGGTTAGTTGCTTTAGAAGGGTTGATCTTTAGCATTTGTCTCTCACTTTCTTCTTTTATTGCAGAGCCCTTCACCTCTTTTCATGTAGAGCTGCCTGCGCTTTGGTATATTTGGACTTGTGGCCTTTCTTGTCCTCTGGAATATCTGTTGTGGTAACTCTGGTTTATGGAAGATGCCGGAAGCGCTGGAGAAACTAAATGGATCCTAACACCATCAGGAGAACGAAGGAACAAGCAGTGATAATGGTTTGGCTATGGATAATGTGCCTTCTTGGCCTAGCATCTTCTCTGGAAGGTAAATGCAAAGTTGATTCACTCTATAATAGAAATATTATTGATTGATTGATTATGTGCCATCAAATCATTTTTGATTCCTAATGATCACATAAGGTAAATTTTCTCCTTGACAATCTATTCTTTCGGGTCTCCCCCACAGTGCGCTCATTGGCACTGTAACTGAATCCATCCATCTTGCTGCTAGTTGTCCTCTTTCTCTCTTTCCTTCCACGTTTCCCATTATGTCAAATATTTATCCACAGCTTCTTTATTTACAAGTGGCATTTGCTGCTGGCTAATGTTTTCAGAGCTACCTGAAGATCCTTACAGATCCTTTCCTAGGCAGTTCTGCTCTTGTAAGTACTGATTGTTAAATCAAATTTCTAAATATTTTATGCCAGATATGCTGTATGGCTGGAGGAAAGCTGATCAACGTTTTCAAATCTTTAGTTTTCCAGTTCTCAAAAACAAAAGCACAAACAAAAACAAAACCACCCATCCAGAGGCTACAGATTCTTTGGCTTTTCCGGTGCATCTTGTCTCAGTCCCACTCTTTAATTTACAAATTTAATAAATATTAAATATACTCAAATGCTGGTTTATTATTAAACCCTCAAATTTCTTGCCATTCAGAGAAACTCTGCTAAGCTTCTGTGAATCCTGAAAGACACTAGAATTATTTGAGTTATTACAAATGTCCATACTGCAAAAGGTAACAAAAGACACTATTTCTGATGGATGCTTTTTTAAAAATTAAAAGTTCTAGACTTGTGGCCTTGGGATTTATAGAAAGAAAGAAAACAATGCTCTGCAGTGATGCTAAAGAAAGTTGAAAGTGATAAAAAATCTCAGATTTAAATTTAATATTAAAAAAGATATGTGGGTTTAAAGCAATTGCATAGGATAACCTAAGGAGCCACTGAGACTCTTGCCATTCTTGATAGCAATCTTTAGTGGTATTTTTGAGGAATTATCTCCCTCTTATCTTCTGAAATTCTGTGGATCCCCTGTAATTTATGAAGTAATTAAAAAAAAACACCCCGTTGCACTGATTTCAGGGCTGATTCAGCCATTGAGACAAGAATGTATTGAGCTGAAACTAGTTTCAACTTCTGCTTTATTTGCTTTATTTATTTATTTTTCATCCGTTCGATTGTATCAAAGTCTTACAAATTGCCTGGATAAATCCCTGCATTTTTCTTGGCAAGGTTTTTCAGAAGTGGTTTGCCATTTTTTGTTTCTTAGGGTTGAGAGAAAGTGATTGGCACACAGTGGGGCTTTGTACACAGTGGGGCTAGAATTTACCCTCTCCCGGGTTCTAGCCTAAAGCTGCTATCTGAAAATGGCTGTTGCTTTTGGCGAATATAGTTATGCAGACATTTGGAAGGAGCATGTTCATCTCAGCAGAGTAGTAGCTTCATTAAAATTTAAGAGAGAGAACTGCTGGTATGCAAAAGGAGAAGAATGTAGGTCTTATTCATAGGTAGATGTTTATTCTTTTTGAAGTTTATTTTTAACTCCAGTTACCAATCATGGTCTTGAGGAAACCCTGATGGAGATTCAAAATATATAAATATATATTTGATGGTATAGAACTACTGCTATGGCTTCTATGTTTCGAAAAGACAAGAGAAAATATCAGGGCATCATAATACTTTTCAATTATCTGTTTTCTATTGCGAACTTGTACAGGTATTGATAACCATATCTTGGGAATTAAACATAATGTGGTATGGAACCATTTTAAATGGGCTTTGTTGTGGTCTGGCTTTCCTATTCCTGCTGTGAGGACTAGTTTGCACTCTAGTTGTTAATTGTCAAATGGAAGATGGCTGGCATATCAAGGGAAGAAATACGCCACAGTCCCACTTGTGATCGTGCAAGCAGTGTGTCATCTGTTGTGAACTAACCCACTGCTCCTTTAAATAACTGGATTTCTGTACTATAAACATAGGATGGGGGGAGGGGATCCTTCCTCTGTGTCTGCTTCTGTGCTTATAGCAGAAGAAGCATTATCAGCTGGATGAGTTAAACAAGGAAGAACGTGGGTGATGCCTTTAGAATGATTGACCCCAGGTTTTTTTTTTTTTTAAAGAAAAGGAATACCAAAACAAACAGAATAAGAGTTGGGAATTGGAAATATGGGTGGGGGGATGAAAGTATAATGATGATTGGATGAAGATACTGTTGGATGGTTTATAAACAGTGAATGAGTGGGGAGATAATTTTTTAAGCTAGCCTCTTTGTTTGAAAATTGCCCCCACTCCTCCTTTTTGTCTTCTGATTCTCTTCCCTTTCTTGTCCAAGTCTGTACACCCCAACACTGCTTATTTTTTATTCATCACAGCCTGGTCCTTTGCCTCCATTGGCTTTCCCCCTGCTTTCTGACCTGTCTTTTCCAGAAGCCTTCGCATGGGAGAGAAAGATGTGCATTCATCATGAAATGGCTCAGGTCAGTGAGCACATGTGGCCGCAGGGATTTTCTTTGGCCCAGCTACAGGAGTGCTCATGATACTCCTTTTTCCCCCTCCCTGGTTAACTTTCTATCCCTGTTTCCCCTCTCCATTTTTTGTTTGCTTTCTGACATTCCTCTGATACGACATCAATCTCTTTATAGTAAATTATCCTTTTCCTCCATATTGTTATCAATCATGGCAAGAACTGACTAATATAAGTTCTAATAGACTTAAAATATCTGTACCTCCATTTTTTTGAAAATCTTTCCTGCCAAAACAGGATTGAATCCCCGCCCCCATTTTAAAACCCTCTGCAATGGTCTCTTGACGTCTTAAAAACTTTCCCTCCCTTCTGTGTCCTTTGCTGCCTCCTGTTACCTAGATCAGTGATGGCGAACCTTTTAGAGATCGAGTACCAAAAAACTGGCCCTGCCCCACTCCACCCCCTGCTCCGCCCCTGCTCTGCCCTCCCATCTCCTGCCCTGCCTGCCTGCAGGGCCACTCACCGCCTCCAGGGCCCACCGCAGATCATCCAGGCAGCCCAGCAGCGCTATGGCGGTTACGCCCCCTGCCCATGCCCACCCTCAGGGGCGACTGTCTTTCAGAGGGGCTGTCCGAGAGGAGGGGGTCACAGGGGGAGGTGAGGCTGGGGCAACAGTACGTGTGCCCACAGAGAGGGCTCCAAGTGCTGCCTCTGGCACCCATGCCATAGGTTCGCCACCACTGACCTAGAATCTCAGCTTAAGAAATATTTTTATGGTGCTTGGTTTTTGAAGTCACGAAACATAACTCCAACATTCTTCTCTTCAATTGAAACAAGATCTAGTACCTGGATTTTGTATTTGGCTGGCATTTATTCTTCACTGGCTTTGCCTTTTCCTTCCCTAACTAGCTGTGACTTTAAATGGAAGCTCCATAGCCAGAATTGGAAGGGGCTACTGCTGATGCTACTGAATACTGTTTGCAGAGAAAGGAACTTGATTTCCTACTGTGCCTATGGGCTTCCCACAGATATCCAGTTGGCAAATGTAGGAAACAAGACGTTGCACTTCACAGGCCTTTCATTTGATCCAATCATTACACTCCATATAATGGAAATGTTGATTAAAGTCCCTTGGGGGCAGGGAATTCATTTTTTAATCTTGTTACTTGGTTGAAGCTGCATTATCTTCATTGGCAAGTGGCCCTAATGTTTCTCAATTATAATAATGTTCTCCATCTATAATGTTCTATTTTTGCTTTTTTAAATCTGGGATGATTGCTACATATATTCATCAGATTCCTCTCATGTTCCCCTCTGCACATATGCATTTATTTATTTGTTCTATAATTTATTGATACAAGAATTGATCTGTTGCTTTCTCCTAAATGGTTCTCGGTATTTTCTGTTTATACCATTTCCAGCCCAATCTGCCCAATGGATTCATTATCATTATGGCTCCTTGCAGATGTGGGAAATGGGACTTGGTACTTTTGTCGGTAAAGTAAAAGCTCTGTTCCAGCCTAAGAAAAATAGCTGACCTTGGTTCTGAGTTTTTATCTAGTTCTTTCCACTGCTTGAAGAATTAAATCCTTGAAAGCTGGCACTGGTAGCTAATTCCTTTCCTCCATCAGCATCCTTGGCTCATTTATGTATCCCATTTCTTTTACAGCTTAGACCTTTTATTTGTTTCTGTCTGTACTAATTTTTAATTTCTATGTACATGTGGTTCCATTTGAGAATGCCCCTTTTATTCCTATTTCCTAACCCAGGATAGCTTCAGGCAGTGATGGGATTCAGATATGTGACCAACCGGTTCTGTGTGTGGATGCCACTTCCGGATGTCCATTCTGGGCCTGCGCAACAAAAAATTAGCTACCGGTTCTGCTGAACCGGTGCAAACTGGCTGAATCCCACCACTGTCTTCAGAATAACAATGACTTAACAGAATACAGAAGCCAAAAATATAAAACAAGCTGTGTAGAACTGTCAAGTCTACTCTGGCACCTTGTTTGTCCCAATAGCTAACCAGCAGCCCATCACAAGCTTCTGAGAAATCATAAACATAACTTGAGCCCTACAGTAGCATCCTACAGTAACATGTTTGTGGGAGACTTTTTAGAGTAGATCTGTCAAGTCTTCAGCAAGCACGTTACTAAAGAAGCAAGATTCAGAGAGACTCATTAATCTGGTCTAATGCTATTATTATTGTTGTTATTGTTTGTCACATAGTCACCGAGATGTTTAGAATGGATTTGACATTTTTGTCTACCCTCTGAGTCCTTCCCAAGGACCTGGGATAGGTAGATATTATTCTTTGATGGTGCTAAAGGTATCATTGCAGAATGTAAGCTGTTGTGAGTAAAGCTGCCTTTTGCAATTGACTGATGGTGATTTTGTCAATGCTGATGGTGTTCAAGTTATTTTGGGATTACATCCAAGATGACTGTTACTCTAGTCTATTATTATTGGTACTATCTTTGATTTCTTTTGCCTCAGTCATTCAGATGTTTTCTTCTTGTTAGTATTAATAATAATAACTGGCAAACCCTATGTGATTCAAAAAGACCCAGCAAAGGGGAC